CAAAAATCCCTTTATTAGGAAAATGGCAAATTTCTTTATTAATGCAAAGGTGACTTGGTTTATCGTTACTGTGACAAACGAAAACACTTTATTTGATGAATCCTTAAAGAAAATTTTAATTAATATCAATCAGGAGAAAAGTTATTGCAAAAATATATGTTGATCCCTAGACACTTTTGATGTGTGTAGATGGGTCACGGTTTTACCTAATTATACGTGTACCTAAAACTGTTCTAAAAAGATTTAACTTATTATTATTATTATTACACGTTTTGTAAAAATTATTCATTGTGAAAACTGCATCATATAGGAGAAATTAGCGATTATACAGACAGATGTAGAAAACGACTTCATTCCGAAGAAGTGTTATATTTTTTTCTTCCCAAAAGACATACCGCGTTAATAGACTATTTGTCAAGTTTTTGAAAACGTTCATACGTTATTTATTAGTGTATAGTAACTCCATAAACGGATATTTATAATTCTGAAGCATATATCAGTAAAAAGCTAAATTTTTGAAGTTATACTTCTTTAGGCGCGTTATGAAAAAATTATGAGAGTGAAATTTTAAGATGCGCGCGCATCACTGTAACACAAAATTTTAACAGCATGAAGTTGGTCGCTTTAGCGACCAACTTCATGCGTTACTTTTGTGTTTACCGCACATTAAGAAAATCTACCAACAAAATAGAAATAGAATCTCTATTTAGTGGGTGCTAACGACTGCATTGTGAAGGCCTATCAAAAGTATTTATTAATCTGGAACAACGGAACCAAAGCGCGATTCAGGAGACTACAGCGCCATCTCTTGACCATTGGTGTAGTAGAACCAAAAACCACATCTTTATTTTTTGTAATAAAGTAACAGTCATAGGTATTCATATTTATAATATCAAAAGTATTTATTAATCTGGAACAACGGAACCAAAGCGCGATTCAGGAGACTACAGCGCCATCTCTTGACCATTGGTGTAGTAGAACCAAAAACCACATCTTTATTTTTTGTAATAAAGTAACAGTTATAGGTATTCATATTTATAATATTTATCCACATGTTTCTAGTTTGTATATTCGGAATACGTGTTTGAGTTTCATACAAGTGCAAATCACATATGTTTTAATAAATTATATTCAGTAGCGATTTTAATTGAATATTTTGATTATTTATTTATTTTTTCAAATTAAAACTGAACTTTATTGACTGTGTCTTTATTGATTGTAATTAATTATTTGCATGCAATTAAAAACTAATTTTAAACGATGCCAAAGAAGGATAACTTCTCACGCGCCTACATAAGTACACGCACCCATTTTTTTTTGTTTTCAAATATGCCTCGGAAACGTTTCACTAGCAAATATTTATTAAATATTTATGGCGTGTTTACAGGCAAGTGACGTAAGTAATGTCACTTCAACAGCAACTTTACAAGTAGGTGAAAGAAACATTTTAATATTTTTTTTGAGTGTGTTTGCTGTTTATCGCAGATGACCTTGTCATCACCTTGTTGTCACATATCACGTCACCTTGACGTCACCGGGTTTGGGGACGGCGAGATCCTAAGGGGACCTCAAGCCGAGAATTGCGAGTGCTTCTAGAAGTATTCCAGGCGGATGGCATCTCCCCACGGGGTCTCCTCTCTGTCTGGAGCCTCTAGACCACTCGAACCTGAGGGGGTTGGCTCAACTAGAGGGCGTCTCTGAGACTTGGACCTCGGCTCTAGTTAGCCGTTGTCGAGGTGATCACAAAGCGAATCTCAAAGGGTTATACCTCCTACAGAGATCTAGAACAGTAGTATGACACAGAGTAAGACAATAGGGATGATGACGGGGTACAGTAAACGAAATTCTATTTAGTCCGTCAGTTAGATGATCAAAAACTAATGGACACGTATTTTTTCTTTCGGCAATCAACCAAAAAATGACAAAGTTATAGCGCGTCAAAGTTTGGGAGTAGGGGCTCGTGACGTCACTTTTGAGTGAATTGTCTCTTACAAGTGTACTCAAACGTGACGTCATGCGACTTTTCAAATCAATATATCTCTGCAATGTTTATATTATGTGAAAAAAGAAAAAAATACGTGTCCAATACTTTTTGATAATCTACCTGATAAACGAGGAAAAAAAATTAGTCATCATCCCTATTAAAACAATATTTCACTAGTGACGTCACCTCGCTGCCTTTCGGTATATAATATAGATGGGTCACGGGTATACCTAATTATACGTGTCCCCTCTCCGTCTGGAGCCTCTTGACCTCTCGGACCTGAGGGGGTCGGCTCAACTAGAGGGCGTGGGACTCGGACCTCGGCTCTAGTTGCCCTCGGCCCTGGTACGTGTACCTGTACCTGGTATAGCGTGTCGTGTGTAGACCAAACATCTCTTATCTATTAGACAAGTCCGTCTGTCTGTGGTGCTGTTTCAGCGGCCAAACCGTAAGAGATAGATAAAGAGAATATTTAAGTTATGAGTTAAGAATAGTCTGATAAGACTACAAACCGGATTTGAGTAACGTAGCACTTCCGGTTTTCGAGAAATCACGAATTTCAAACGAAACCACACAAAATCTCCGAAGTTCTCAATTAATTAAATACATTTTTTTTTTAACTCAGGTTTTGGTGAACATTTGGTTCACTGGTTTGCTAGTTTTAAATAATACCAATATCTATAAGTTTGTAGGCCAGTGAAGCCAGCCTTTGTTTATTTTCAAAAGTTACGAAATATATATCATAGTATATCAACAGCACCCCCCCCCCCCCCCAGAGGGGCGACATCCCTTAAAAGCACCGAGCACCTTACAGTTTAGATCTTGCATAAATATAGCACAATGTAACGGGGGTTGCGAAGCCGGGGTCATCTCACATACTATGCTTTGTTCAATAAAGAGTTTTTACAACTAAGTAGGTATAAGGTTTTACAAAGAAAAGAGTAATAGTACATTATGATATAAGTGCGGTAAGTTGAGAATTAGGGCTATCGCGTCTGAAACCGCCGCTAGAGGCGCTTGTGTTGCGTGAGGTCTCCGAAATGTCAAAGTTATAGCTTTGTGGGTCGACTACGCGGTTTTATTCTAATTAAAATAATAGTTGTGAATATTTGGTAATAAATCAGACTTATTATGGCAAATATGAGTTACGTGTCAATGATTGTCAGTTATTTAAAAGCGGAGCTAAGGAAAAATATTGTCCTTCTTTTTTCCGAACAAAACGGGACTGCGCAACACTGTGGCATGGGCGATTATGTTTAAGATACGATTCTTTTGTATTAAAATGTAAACTTTGATATCACGAGCGTGTTTACTAACTTTAAAAGTTACACTTCAGGACCTCACTCAACAGTGGCGCCATCTGGTGAGACAAAAAACGATAGCCCTCATTACACCCGAGGCGATATTGTTAGCCCGAGCCGTAGGTGACGGCTATAAGAACGCAGAGGCTGTAATTATCAAACCGCACGTATGTCATACGACGTTTTATAACACATTTGCGAGGAAATAATACTACCTACCTACCTTTGTTTGTTTTCCATAAGATGAAATTTTGATACGCTTGACTGTAAGTCTCTATCTATCCGTGGATTTTTCCGGCAAGAGGCTTAGCGTAGGCTTTTTGGAATTCTGGCGGTGTCAAATTAATAAATTCGTTACTATTTGACAATATTTTCAAATAAAAACAATACAGCGAAAAGAAAAAGAAATAACTTTTTCACAGATTAGCGATGCGCGCGCATTGAGGCAAAATTTTTTTAGGCAAAGGAACAAAAAACAGCCAGTGTTACTAAAAAAGTAAATTAATATTTTTGTGAATTTGTTACCGATGCATGGTTGTAATTTATTGACAAAATGAATCAAATTAAAGAATTAAATATTTATATATTATATTTTATCTCCCAAAGTTGATTTTGGCTACCTTTCTGACATAAAAACTCTTTGCTAAGATTTAAAAAAGTATCGTTCGTTTTTAGGCGGAGCATAATAAGCCGTGCGTTTTACTTTACATTACTGCATGCGTGATAGATTATGATATTGAAATTGGTGCAATAAGAGACGCGTTACGAGCAAATGTGTTATAAAAACTGTTTATTGCACAACACAGTAACAACACAACCAGAAAGGGTGTTTTTCATTAATAAAGAAATGAGAAATGTTTTCACAATACAAACGTAATCATCCCGCTATCCTTATTTTTCATCCCGTTATCCTCAGTGTCACTTTGATGGCGAGAACCGTCGCTCTGGCTACTTTCTGTTTAGTCCTCATGGCTCACGTGGCCAAACAAAAATTCTGTGGCTGGACTTATTATTCCTTAGGGTCAATTCACACGTACCACAACCACACCACAGCCACAACCACACCACAACGACGCGATGTAATCGGGCGTATATTTTGTATTGAAAATTAATATTACAATTTACACGTACCACATTTTGCCGTTGTTATCGACCACCTGTGTAATACGACCACATCGCAACCACATCGCGACGGCAACGCCACCACCGGCGGCGGCACCGCGGCCACATCGCCACGACATGACGTCATGTTTCCACCATGACTACGTTCAGTCAAGCCGTGTTTCCTCTACGAAAGCCGGAGTATAACTGCACATGACCACGTGGTTACCACATCGCAACGACAGCGACAACGCAACCACATCGACATTTTGTCGGTACCAGAACGCAACTGCAAAAAGCCGCTGCGACACTATTCACACGCAACCACAGCTTGACCACATTTTGTCGCTGCGACGTGGTGTGGTTGTGGTACGTGTGAATTGACCCTTATTTGAATTGCCTCTACTAGTTTGCCTTATTATAATGTGTGTATAACAACAAAGAGGGTAATTAAGGGTCATCCCAACTCTTACCCCCAAAATTTTCCCTGCAGCAGGAATGTGAGTAAAATAGCCGGTCAAAGGCCAAATTGTTCATAAGATCATTGCTTAAATACTCATTTTACATATTACAACCTACTTATACCACTCACGATAAATCATCCTCAGATGAGAATATTTGACAGGGCACTTCACTCAATTGCATTTCCATTTCAGTAGAGAAAATCTCCCAACAAATTAAGTAGAAACATTTTATAGTATTTATTTTTCGGCGACTGTGGGCGTTTATTTTTCAGATAGCTTTGATTGCTAAAATCAGTTGTTATATTTGATATGTTATCTGTCTTTAACTGTCAGCTGGTCAGGCCTCGCGTTACGAGAGGCCTCTTGGACTCCATTTGGTATGAAATAATTTATATCCAACAGTTTTGATTATGTACACGTTTAGATGTCGTCACGGATGTGGCCCAAAAATATCTACTACTTATGGTAGATACACTTGTACGCTCCACACGCACACATAGACTGCTTTCAAACAATCTGAGAACATGAGAACATGGAGCTGTTTTCTTCGTGTGAGATTACTCTTTCTAGGCGTGTTTAAAATCAAATCTTACAGTAAAATGTCATTAAAATTCATGCTAAATTAATTGCTAGTAACCACTCAAATAGCTGCAGCAGCTTCCAAGATAGACTTATAGAATTCTTAGAATAATTATTCTGATGGAATTATTTTTCGCACTGGACTATTGTAATCAATCTATATATTTACATAAAACTCAAAGGTGACTGACTGACATAGTGATCTATCAACGCATAGCCCAAACCACTGGACGAATCGGGCTGAAATTTGGCATGCAGGTAGATGTTATGACGTAGGCATCCGCTAAGAAAGGATTTTGATCAATTCTACCCCCAAGGGGATAAAATAGGGAATGAAAGTTTATATGAAACTTTGTCAATTTTAAACCGACCGGGCTGAGACTTTGCATGCAGGTATAAGAAGAATCATAGATGAATATCATTGTGCATAATACAAGCCTGAGAACAAAAACTGTAGTCTACACTTCAGTTCTACACCGAAGCGAAGCGAGGGCGGGGCGCTAGTGTACATTAAAGGTAGCCCAATTTTTCCCATGCCGTGTTCAAACCAGCACCCTGCGATATTTGGATAAATGTGTTACTCCATTTTTTAGCATGCATATTTTTTACAGGGGGTTAATTTAATTTATTGCAATTTTGTATTTTCTAATATTAATAACGTCGCTGACGAAGTTAGCTTATAAGTCTACGGCGTTTTCAGAAAAAGAAGATAAAAACATCTTCATGCATCCTATAAACTTCATACAATAGGTATAATTATTAATAAAAATAGCGACAATGTATTTCTGATACCACAGTGTATTAAAGACTATAATATAAAACCTTGATTAACAACATTTATTTGTTTACTAGCGGCCCGCCCTCGCTTCGCTTCGGTGTAGAGCTCAAGTGTAGACAACAGTTTTTGTTCTCAGGCTTGTATTATACACAATGATATTCATCTATGATTCTTCTTTTACCTGCATGCAAAGTCTCAGCCCGATCGGTTTAAAATTGACAAAGTTTCATACAAACTTTCATTCCCTATTTTATCCCCTTGGGGGTAGAATCGATCAAAATCCTTTCTTAGCGGATAATCTACGTCATAACATCTACCTGCATGCCAAATTTCAGCCCGATCCGTCCAGTGGTTTGGGCTGTGCGTTGATAGATCACTATGTCAGTCAGTCACCTTTGAGTTTTATATATATAGTTTGTTGCTAATTTGGTTTTTCTAATGTCACAATTTTTTCCATGTCAGAAGCACAGCTTTTGTAGTCTTCTGTTCAATATCTCTTATCTATTAGACAAGTCCGTCCGTCCGTCCGTCCGTCCGTGGTGCTGTTTCAGCGGCCAAACCGTAAGAGATAGATAAGGAGAATGTTTAAGTTATAAGTTGAGAATAGTCTGATAAGACTACAAACCGGATGTGAGTAACGTAGCACTTCCGGTTTTCGAGAAATCACGTGATTTCTATTTCAAAGGAAACCATAAATCTCCGAAGTTCTCAATTAATTAAATACATTTTTTTTTTGGTGAACATTTGGTTCACTGGTTTGCTAGTTATATTATAATTTCGTGTACACTAGTGTTTTCTTTTTATATAGTTTGGATTGTTAGATTAATTTAGGTATTGATATAAATTCCTGTTATTAATTTTTGTGCCCTGTCCGCCTCCCTATATGTCCTGAACCGGTTTAGCTGATACGTCCAATTCAGGGCAAACGTTAAACCTCAATGTACAGCGTAAATAATACTGTGGATGTCAGATCTGTGTTAGACAGTTGTTGGTTGGCAGGATCTCTACGAAATAAATATTGTTAGGGACTTTTTGGCGGGATCGGACAGCGTCACTTTAGCAGTTTTGTTTTAGTTGTTAAAAATTGTGTTGTGGCGGATGTTAGTGTCTATTAATGGTGGATTATTAACCATTCAGTGTTCGGGAACATGCACAAGTGTTGGCAAGTGAAACAAAAAGCGGAAAGTGCCTTTCGACGTTCCCTCAAGAAGTCCACGGGGAGGTTCCAGTACATCCCCACACATTTACTGAAACATATGGGAAAGGAGGATTGACTTGACTGCCACTTACTTTGGCTTGATTTATTACTTTGACCACGAATGCTATAGAGTTTATAAACATTCTGACATTGGCTAAATGCACAAGCCGTGTGAAGCCATTTAGGAAAAAAGATGTTATATCAGTTATATTTTTATCGAAAGTAACAATGTCAAAGAAGAGACTTCGGCGAAGTCATAAACCTTTTAGGTAAGATTGCGTATGTTGAGCAACTTTTAGGGCCCCATATACGGAACGATTCATCGTTGCGATCGATCTGAAGGAAGATCAATACAAACAATTGGTACAGATCAATCGTACCGTATATGGGACTCTGACGATCGATCGTTTACGATATTCATGATTGCATGAGTTTTTGTTGCGATCTCCGATATCGTCTGCGATTAAGTTAATCGTTAACGATCTTGACATACACTGTCGATCCATCGTTTCGATCGGCCTGAAACGAAGGATCGTACAGATCAATAGTTCCGTATATGGGCCCCTTAATGAGAAAAGGCTCACCACCGCGCGAATGGATAGCTTTTCTAAAACACGCTACACGGTATGAGCAGTGTGGACATTAACAAGCTCTTGAACACCAAACTACAATGCAATACATTGAGACTTATCTCTTATTTGCGTAAACGACAAAGTTTGAAATGTATTTCCGATTTTAGTGTTCGCAGTTCGGTTAGTTAATTTTGTTTGTGGCAACTGGCGGATTCGCATGCCATTGTTCCTGTTCGACAATCTATTTAGTCGGGAAAATTGTTTGAGAACACGATGAATTTATGTAGAAAGTAGAATCGTACTCGCTTTCATTTAGTTTTGTTTCCTTTCAATTATGCTGATTTCCGTAAATCCGTCACATCCAACATTGGAAAGATTACCGTAAGTGAGGGTTACTTTAGCTCGGGCGGGTAACTTTGTCCCAAATCAGAAAAAATATTGAACTTGCCGCCCCATCAGTATCTCTTGGGTGACCGTAATAGTTCCAGTTGAAAACCACAGATAGCCATAAAGGCGCGTAGTGTGGTGTTGCTTTACCGACATCGTTCCTGTATCAAGTTGTCATTGTAACGCGGGATTTTTTGTAACTGAAATAGTTCGCAAGTTCATGCGCAAACTTTCTCAAAACTATGGTTTTCGCTAAGTTTACTATTTTTTCTAAATTTAAAGTTATATTTTTCATTTAACTTAATGATTTTTGGGCAAAAACATCCATTTGTGTATTCAGTATGCTAATGGTGATCTGTCATAAGAGTTACTTAACCTCAACATGGCTTAAAATGAGTTTTTTTCACAGAGAAAACTCAACGAGCTAAAGTAACCCTCTTTAAGGCCTACTTTGGCCCAAGATTAAAAAAACATTATATTAACCCTTAAATATTATTTTTTCCTACTTTCGTATGATAACTTTGTAACTTACACTTTAAACTTCACAATGGAAAGATATAAACGTGACATATTCATCACAAAAAGAAGCTATAATTTTATTTGAAAAAAAAGTGCATATTTTAGGTCAATGTAACCCGCAGTTACTCGGTACCTAACTGTTTACTTTTTCTGATACTTTCTTTGATAATGGAATATGGCATATTTATGTCCACCAGGTCGAGAAACAGCTCCCAGGGTCGTTACCTGCCCCTCCTATCATGCCGGGACAGTTCGCTCGGGCTGTTTAAGCGCGCGACCACTTGTGACCCTTGCGGTAGCAGCAGCGGTGGCAAGTCGTCAGGCGCGGCCACTTATGGTCCTTGCGGTGGCAAGTCGTCAGGCGCGACCACTTATGACCCTTGCGGTGGCAGTAATGGCGGCAAGTCATCGGGAAACAGCAAACACCAGGCAAGAACCATTCATTGGCACAATTAAGTTTTAATGAACTGGAGCTCTACTCTCTTTGTCCGAAACGAACTTTCGGCAACGAACGACGGCATGTCCTTAAACGAAAGGACATGAAAAAATTTTGTATGAGCGACTGCCCTAGCAATATATAAATATTGTACTTAGGAATATTTAATGGAGAATGGCTGAATTTTTATAATTTCTTTGAAAACAGGCTCAGGAACTTCTAGTAAAGTCACAATCTTGAAAATAATAAGAACTCCTACTATGCCATTACCTTTCTTAGAATCTCTCTTCCCATTTCTCCGCTTAACTCATCATAAAAAGTTTTTTTAAGCAAAAATAAATGTATATTATTTGTTATCGTCGGCCTGACAGGAAAACTGTTTTTTTAAAAAGGATTTATTTCATACAGCCTTGTCTCAGGCCTGATTAGAATAATAAAATCTATTATTTTAGGTCTTCAGTAATTTGTTATAATAAAAATTAGGCTCAAATATGTCATATTTTGAAGGAGTTTAGAAATAATATTGTTCACTTCGATATAGTTACACAAATATATTTTTAATATACATTTATTGCTCATAATATTTTGTAAAAAGGAACATTTTCCTTTTTAAACAGACATGAAGTCAATTTTTATACTTTTAAATATTTGAATTTTTCTTGAAAGTTATATGAGAATAATAAACACGTAATAATTCATAAAACAATATTATAATGTTACAGGCTAGTGTGAAATAATTATACACGTTAAGGGCAGTTTCTTAGCCATGTCCTTTCGCCAGTGACTCTACTCTATTTATCTTCGAACACGCACATAAAGTTCGGAATCACAGACAATTATCGTGAACGAATGGAATGAGTTATGTTTGTGAGTTCTTTTTGTCTACACTTTTTAGATAACGTTTTTTACTTCAAAAGAATATTACTTTAAGACAAAATTTTTGATTACATTAAAACAACCTCTTTTGACAGTGTTATCCGACTAATTTGTAGAGTTTATGCAATCGAATGTTTATGCAACGTTTTGTCGTGTAACACTTTGAAGTATTGGCAATACAATAATAAACAAAAATTGAATTTATTTGTAAATTTTGCCTACTAAAAATGATCCTCACGCTAAGCAGCCTTAATTAAAAATACTTTAGTTGTAATTTTAGGTTTAATTTAAACAAAAATCCCATAACGAAAATGAAAAGGTAACACTTTTCATTTCGTCAATTTGAGGTTGAAATTTCGAACTATTATCTGTCAAATTCAACTTTTAGTTCAAAAGTTTTGTGAATTAGAGTAGGCTCGGAGAATTTAAATGTCTATTTTCGGACGAACGAATCTTCGAACTGAAATAGAAACAGAGTAAGGAACGTGCGAAATTTCAATCGAAATTTCGTTTTCCGTTGAAATAGAGTTTAAGACTAATAAACGAGCCACTTACTGTATTAGTGTGACGGCGCAATGAGGGCTATCGCGTATGAATCCGCCGCTAGAGGCGCTAGTGTAGCGTGAGGTCTCCGAAATGTCAAATGTTATTGCTTGTTGGCTGACTACGCGGGTTTATTTCTTATTAAAATAATGTTGTGAATAATTGGTAACAATTCGGCTTAATTATGGCAAATATGAGTTATGTGGCAATGAATGTCAGTTATTAAAAATTTGAGCTTAGAAAAATGATTATGTTCCCATTTTTTCCGAATAAAACGGAACTGCGCGTCACTGTGGCATGGCCTATTATGTTTAGGATATGGTTCTTTTGTGTTAAAATACGATCTAAATGTAACCTTTGATTTCATGTGTGTATTAATAAACTTTAAAAGTTACAATTTAGGACCTCACTCAACAGTGCCGCCATCTAGTGAGACAGAAAACGGTAGCCCTCATTATACTTGGTCGTTATCCCGTATCCGGGTTCACAAAAGAATTACTCGATTACAGGCACCCTAAGCAACAATTACATTGTTTTCCTCATATTCGGGTACTGGCAAACATTTCTACGCCCGTTTTAGAAAAACGTGCCTCAGTGATGCCAGATTAGCGGGAACCAAAACGAAAGCTGTTCGAATACGGGCGTACTCAACTCCGTTCATCTACACGAATTCGATAGACAATCGTATACGAGCTAACGACCAATGAACGCACATGAAATCAAAGGTTACATTTAGATCGTATTTTAACACAAAAGAACCATATCCTAAACATAATAGGCCATGCCACAGTGACGCGCAGTTCCGTTTTATTCGGAAAAAATGGGAACAGAATCATTTTTCTAAGCTCAAATTTTTAATAACTGACATTCATTGCCACATAACTCATATTTGATTTACATTGACATTACCAATTATTCACAACATTATTTTAATAAGAAATAAACCCGCGTAGTCAACCAACAAGCAATAACATTTGACATTTCGGAGACCTCACGCTACACTAGCGCCTCTAGCGGCGGATTCATACGCGATAGCCCTCATTGCAACTGCAGCTTAATATTGCTACTTATAGGTGCTACTTATGATCTTGTTTGGGCTGTAAGAGTTCTTAAGCTGTAGGACAAGTGTTTCCTTTTCAATTTTTAGACTCAAACTCATTTATTCAGTCTAGGCTGTTACAAGCTCTTGTGAAAGTCAAACGCTACGCCATCGGTTCGTAAATCTACGGCGGGAGACCTTGCACTGAGAAGAACCGGCAAGAAACTCAGCAAGGGCTATTTTTTTTCCCCCCTGTTCTGTTTCATACAGTGTCGTCAATTGAAAGATGCCATCAAAAATTGAAAACATGTGTTGATGTCAACTTTCATCATTAATATTATTAATTAATAATAGTTAAGTATAGCTAGGTCCTATTTTTAAATTAAGAAGTGGTGATTAAACAATTTTAACCAAATTAGCAAAGTAAAACAACATCGTCTATTATATTAAGCCCGAGGTGCCTTATAATTTATGAAATCTTTTACAGTATAGTAACCTTTTTAAGGAGACATGTTTTTATACACACTTTAAACTTATTTAAAGGTAAATCAGTTTGTCTTTAAGTATTTTATTATAGTAACATATACCTTGACCCACAAATGAACCAAGAACCCTTTGGAGTCTCAACGGTGGCAATTTGAGTTTATCTTTATTTCTGGTATTGAAATTATGTATATATTCGCGCCTCGTATATAAATTAATGTTTTGCCTATTTGGCCAATTAGGGTAAAACATTCAGGTTGACTAAAGTGGATCATAGTTTGCTTAAAAATACCACCACTAATTATTAAACCAGGTTCTCATCATCATCAGCCTATTAATGTCCCCACTGCTGGGGCACAGGCCTTCCCTATGGATGGAATAGGGAGATTGGGCCATGACCCACCACGCGGGCCCAGTGCGGATTGGTGGGTGCTAACGACTACAAATGCAGCCGGGACCAACGGCTTAACGTGCCTTCCGAAGCACGGAGGAGCTCGATATAGTAAATTTTTGGTCACCCATCCAATGACCGACCACAGCGAAAGTTGCTTAACTTCAACGATCGCAGCCGAACGCGCTAGCCACCTGCGCCATCGAGCTAAACCAGGTTCTACTACCGTGGGCTCTAATACCTTTCGAGTCAACATTTCACCAAATTTAGGAAGACACTATCGACACAGGCCCGGGCATCTTTTTCCTGGTCTCATTTACGTCCAAGTTCATTCCACGTATTGGGTTGTAGAACCTTATTATAATGGTGCCAATGTGTTGTAATTTTTTTTTTCGGTAATAGGTAAGCACTTGACCATAATTCGCATGATGGAAAGCAATATTATGGTCTACGATGGAGCGCGCTTACCTAATAAAAATCGGCTTTGAAAACCGCTAGATTGTAGTGCTCGGGGAACAAGGGCTCAGGCAAGGAATTCCACAGTTTGGCAATCCGCACGATGAAGCTAGAAGCGAATCGCTTAGTGCGAGTCTTTGGAACTGCCACCGTGAATCGATGTCGCCTTGCCGTTTCCCTGCTCGTAAATCCATTATAACCCTACGCTCAATACAGGTGTCGTACAAGCCGTATGTGGCGCCCTGCTACAAAGACCATGATGCTAAGAACATGGAGATGAACAGGCCCATGTCCCCGCATCTGATGGTGTACGGGCCCACGCTGCCGGCCATGACCTCCATATTGCAACGTATCACAGGTTCGTCTTTAATACATTTCATTAGCTTTTATATAATAGACGGTTTGGCAAGTGTGTGAGGTTTTACCGCCCGAAGCAAATCACTTTTCTTGTTAAATAATTACCTCTACCTCAGTGGTTAAGGGTCCGAGCCATTTCTGACCCGTCAGCCTAAAGCAAACAAATAATAATAATATTATTATGTCGTCACAAGGGCGACAAATTGTGGTTAAATAATTACGTCTTCCTCAGTGGTTAAGGGACCGAGTCATTTCTGACCCGTTAGCCTAAAGCAAACAAATAATAATAATATTATTATGTCGTCACAAGGGCGACAAATTGTGGTTAAATAATTACCTCTTCCTCAGTGGTTAAGGGACCGAGTCATTTCTGACCCGTCAGCCTAAAGCAAACAAATAATAATAATATTTTTATGTCGTCACAAGGGCGACAAATTGTGGTTAAATAATTACCTCTTCCTCAGTGGTTAAGGGACCGAGTCATTTCTGACCCGTCAGCCTAAAGCAAACAAGTAATAATAATATTATTATATCGTCACAAGGGTGACAAATTATGGTTCGCCCCGGATGTCTATAGCCCACCCTACGCCGCTGCTCTACCTTATAAGGGAGGTGCTTAGGTTTTGTTCTTGTTTTAGAAATACAAACTCTCGCTTCGGACTACGAGCAGTTTTGTCTTTAGTTTTTTGTATGTCTTAATATTTTATGTATGATTCTTTGTCTTATTTCTTCGTCAAGAAGATTTACTTTACGAATTAGAGCGCTCATCTTACCAATTCCACGTTATTTATGTTTTATGCAGCTATGTAAGTTGTACGAGTACAACCACGAAATTCTAAATCTGTATTGCACTCAGTGGCCCTATTTCTTTGAAATATATTTAAAAAAAATTGGTTATTGTATAAGTAGAATGTAGAATGTGTCCTACATGTCCGCTTTGTTCCATCACAATGATTTAATCAAGTACTTAGTAACTTCCGTCTTTGGTGTCGATTTCTTTTCAAACCATGTTATGAAAAAAACTCCGATTGATTCACAATGGGCGTTTGTTTCATAAGATGGCTTTGACAGGAATGTTTAACATGGAAAAAGACAGCATAAGTCTTGTTATAAATACTTAAACGGTATATCATAAAATGTATATCTATTTGAACGCAAAATATTGTCACAATGAAACAATTACGTATATTTATTTTTAATTTTAATGGATGTAAATTCAGACACTGTTTACGTTGGAAAACTTGCTAAGTTTCTCTTGATCGAACCTAAACTTTTAGCAATTGCAATCATAAGCCAGCGTTTGTGTAAAAGACTGTCGATTTATCGTGGTCGTCATCGTCCAAAAACACAGAAAGAGGTTAGAAGGGAAATCATAAACCGTTTGTATGGGAACCGATGCCGATGTCGCCGGCTCGCCCCCACTACACTTCCACCTAATTGAATAGCCAATCAAAAGACGCGACATCAAACAATCGAACCAATCATCGCTCACACCCGAGAGCAACGGTACAATCAAAACCAGTGTTGGGCGTAATTAATTAGTTTTGTAATTTAATTACTAATTCAATGAATAGTAATTGAATTACTTAAATTGAAATTACATGTATTTGCAATTACAGTAATTCAATTACTTACGTCCAAAGTAATTTAAATTACATTAGTTTGTAATTCAAATTACTTAATTACTTTTTAAGGGTAATATAATAAACTACTAAAATTGAGCGGTTATTAGCTTGATGCCCGTACGCAGCACAACAAGCACAACACAAACAAGGTTTTAGTGTATAATTTGCTATGAATTTATGAGTGTGTACCAGTACCTACACAGCTACCTATCCCTTTTCTAGTCTCTCGGCGGCGTGCACCTTTATTTCGATTGATTGTTCTCATATGCTACAATGATTAACTTACCAAAATCTTACAAACTTTCTGATCAAATGTTTGAACAAAGAGTAGTATTAATGCCTAATTTAAAATAAATTAAACATTTATTGTCTTAATTTTAAAAAAGGTGGTTATAATTACACAATTTATCTGATCTATTCCGTAAATAAACATTTGATAAATCATAATATAATAGATTTATTTAAAATACTACCTCGTCTTTAAAAGAGATTATTTAAAAGTAATTGAGTATTTCAATTAACAATTACAATTGCATAATGTAAACATTTCAATAATTTCAAGTAATTTGTAATTAAAGTCACCAATTACAATTTGTAATTGAAATTGTTAATTTGAAGTTAATGAGGGCTACCGTTTTCTGTCTCACCAGATGGCGCCACTGTTGAGTGAGGTCCTAAATTGTAACTTTTAAAGTTTATTAATACACACATGAAATCAAAGGTTACATTAAGATCGTATTTTAACACAAAAGAACCATATCCTAAACATAATAGGCCATGCCACAGTGACGCGCAGTTCCATTTTATTCGAAAATAATGGGAACATAATCATTTTTCTAAGCTCAAATTTTTAATAACTGACATTCATTGCCACATAACTCATATTTGCCATAATTAAGCCGAATTGTTACCAATTATTCACAACATTATTTTAATAAGAAATAAACCCGCGTAGTCAACCAACAAGCAATAACATTTGACATTTCGGAGACCTCACGCTACACTAGCGCCTCTAGCGGAGGATTCATACGCGATAGCCCTCATTACATTTTGCCCAACACTGCAGAACCAAGTTTTGGTTAAGTGTCGCGCCTGCCACGCACACAAGGCGCTTCTAACCCCTTTCTGTGTTCTGTGGTCATCGTTGTCAATCCTACTTGAACTTAGAGCTCGTTCCCACTTGACGGTTGTTAAATATACGGAATTTAAAATCAAATCTGTATATTGAATGGATGTCGGCGCCTTTGTTCATCACACTTTCGGTTAATAATTAAAAAAGCTGGCGCCTTCAACAAACGGCCATGACTTTTGGTCGCTTCCAAAATCAGTCTTTTGAATTTGAGCTATTGGAGTGTCTACGTAACATTCCTGAAGACTTACGTAACGTTTGTTTATTATTTTAAAAATAAAATGACTTCTTTCAGTAAAATATCCTATCTTCAATATTTTATATACTTTCCCTGCATATGACGAACCCGCTCGGCGTCCTGTACATTTATGTTGTGAGCTTAACACAATCAGATTTTAGTCACAAACGTGTAACCGCACCGTTTTAATTATCGATATGACATCACACAGTCATTTGCTGGGCTGTAATTACAACCTTTGATAACGCAATAATTATTAAATGCAATATTAGAATCATTATTACCATCAACCTATTAATGTTCCCTATGGATGGAATAAATAAATAAATATTTCCGACACTCACACCAATTAGCCTAGCCCCAAAGTAAGCACTGTAAGGCTTGTGTTATGGGATACTAGGGTAACGGATAGAATACATAACAGTACACATATAAGTATATTTATATAGAAATACATATTAAACATCCATGACTGGAGAAATCTGAACATCTGCCCCCACCGGGATTCGAACCCGGGACCTCTCGAGTCGGCGACACCATGAAACCCGGCGTACAAACCACTCGACCACGGAGGTCGTCAAATAGGAATACGGAGATTGGGAGATTTGCACAACCACGCGGGCCCAGTGCCGACTGGTGGGTGCTGACGTCTGCAGATGCAGCCTGGACCAACTGCTTAATGTGCCTTCCGAAGCACGGAATAGCTTTTTTGGTCACCCATCCAATGACTGACCATTGCGAGAGTTGTTTAACTTTCACGCTAACCAGCTGCGCCCTCGAGCTATCTTCGTGTCTGGACTTCACCTTCACTTATCATCAGGTGGAGTGGTCATTTGTCGGACCTATCTATAGAAAAAAGCTTCTATTATTCAAATAATAAGACGAACTTTCCACAAACTCTTTCTCCGTATATATACAATCCATTGGGAGACTTGAGCAGTGGAGACATTTATAGATGGCAATCTAAGAAACGAAATACAACAGGTGCTGACCGCGAGATCTTTTCCTCTGTTAACCTTATAGGTTTTTCACAGGCACCACCCTGACATGCTACGCTCTGCTGCTATCCGGGGGGACTCTGTTCCTCTCCAACGGCATAGACACGTACGTGTCGATGATACAGAGCCTCGATCTGTCGAGGTCAACGGTGTTCCTCCTCAAGATTCTTCTGGGCTTGCCTTTCTGCTATCACTACTTCTGCGGCATCAGGTTTTGCGCGTGGAACGCTGGCAAGTGGCTGGACATGAAAACCGTTTATAGCTCCGCGTGGACATCCATGACCCTAGCTGCTGGCCTTTCTTTACTATTTGCCTTGTTATAATAACAGCTTTGGTATCTTTTCTTTTCGTACAAGCTTTGTTTATTGGAGTTTTGAATACTTTTATTTTTAATCTATTACCTTTCCAAATGTTATTTTCTACAAAATATTGCAATGAAAAATCGATCGATTGATGATTATCATTTAGGCCTATTTCTTGCAGCATGTTTGCTGCAAGTGAACCTTTGTATCCTTTTAAAAATCGGTTAAACAGTACAACAGTCCGAATAAAATTGTCAACGAAATAAAAAAAAACACTAGTAAAATCATTATCAATATCATTTGAAAAGTGAGTGATATTGAAAGTTTGAAAACCGGTTGTTGCACACACATGTTAACAAAGCGTGCACTATTAATAATTAATAATTAATATCGACTGATGTTTGCAACCAAAAAAATGGGAACATTATTGTTTAATGGCATTAAATTATTTACATTTGTAGTGCGAGTGGGCGTGACTGGCGAACGGCAAAACTGTGATATTAATGATGCAAGCTATTGTATTTATTTTGTATCGTAATCAAATATATTATGCTGTGCTCCGGGCCACGCAGATATTGAACTAAAAACAAAATCATCATTTACAAATGCAAGATTCGAAAATTCAATACCTAATTTTGTCTAAATTAGTCTTCGTATGTTAATGTTGTACCTGCTTATGCTTAGATAATGTAGATGGATGTAGCTCATAGGTTGTGGATTATGATAATAAATGTTATTCACCTCGTAAATATGTTTATTTATTTCTTGGTACTTATCAAGCATTTCTTCCACAGAAAGAGTATAATATATGAAGAAAATAAAGAGCATAACCACGGTAATATTATCTATACAGTATTCTATCTTCATACCAAACGGTCAGAAAGCGTGTCATACCTACGCCACTCGAGTTCGCGCGGCACCCGGTGGGCATCCAGTCGCGAATGCGCCGCAGCGACGACCGAACGCTGTGATTTTTTCAAGCAGTTAGCCGTGCTTAAGCGTGCGATTTGTATTGTGAATATTTGAGTGAATTAAGTAGATACCTACATAATTTAATATGGCAAAGAGCAATAGTCGATATTGTGCTGTTTTTGGTTGCTTGAACTCTTCAATAACGCACCCAATTAAAAAACCATCAAATGTAAAGTAGCTGCAGGTATATATAACCAAGTTAAAGATATTCCCTTTTCTGCTCCTTGCCAATGTTTTCCTAAAGTATTTTTAGTTAAACTTTTTATACGAATGCGTATTTATTATACTATTAAATTTAATAATAAAGCTTTTCGTATATCTCAGTTGAGGCGTAAATATTTTTCTGTCTCAAATCTATATTTTTGTTTACAAAATATTATCTAAAAATAACATGTACTGTATTGAATTAACACTTCCTAATTCATTCACAACATTTTTTTTTACATATAAAATAAAATATTTACAATCAAAAAACTAGTAAGAAACTCAATTATGTAGATGAAATTATAATACTGAAGGCGGGCAGCCCTACCGCGTGTTTACGCCCGTCGTTCGGCCGTAGGCAGTTATTTCAAGGACAAGGCCGAGTCACAATACTGTATAGATAATATTACCGTGGCATAACACTTCACTTGATTCAGAAGCTTCATGAAGTGGTATAATTATTCTGTGGTAGCAAAAACCACCTGTTGGAGAGACACTGCTATATTTACTACCAGTCTAACGCAAACAGTCACGTCTGATGATAAGCAGTAACACCATCACTAGGAGCATCTTTCGAAACCAGTTCCTGTAGCATAAGCACCACAATATACATTATAACACGATTTGTATCGCGTCTAACTGTCAAACTCCATAGTAATTTGACAATTGAGCGTGATAAAAACGAATTATATATCATATCGCGTTGTTCATGCTACGGGGGGCTGGGCCGACAGAAAATGCTGTATGTTATGTCACGGTTACGGCTCCCGCGACGGGATGAATTTGTGGCAAATTGTTTCGTTAGGTTTACGCCTTCTTTAAAAAGTAAGGCACGTCATTCGACCGGAACCGGCTATATTATGGGACAAGATCACCTTGTCCAAACTGTTATAAAAATGTCTTTTCTTACGAAATAGAATAACTATCTTTTTGAAAAATAAAACAAATAAATAAATCAACATTGAACATCATCTAACTTAGAGAAGGAACTGATATTATTATGATACAAGTGCGGTAAGTTGAGAATTACAGCCGAGGCGATATTGTTAGCCCGAGCCGTATGTGAGGATAATTTTAGACGGTACATAATAATAATAATTCATTTATTTCAATCATAAAGATCATAGCATGCCAATGACAAAATAATAATAAATAGTAATAATTATGATACATGAAAATAAATTAAATTACATCTCCACATACAATTACATTTAAAACAAAAATTAAATTAAATTCAATCGGCTTCACACCTAAGTATTAACAGTTTCAGAATTTCAAAAATAAAATGTCAAAATTTAAAACGGTAAAATAAAAATTAAATGTCAAAATTTAAAATAGTCAAATAAAAATTAAATGTCAAAATTTAAAATAGTCAAATAAAAATTAAATGTCAAAATTTAAAATGGTAAAATAATAAGTCGTGCGTTTTACTTTACATTACCGCACGCGTGTGTAATGTGATAGATAGATTATGATATTGAAATTGGTACAATAAGAGACGCTTTACGAGCAAATGTATTATAAAGTTTTTTATTTTTAATACCTTAATACGTAACCTATACATTACATAATACACACAGTGCAAGTTAAAAGAGGAATTATTCTTTTTTTTATTATATTTTTCAATAAGAAGCCAAGTTATTTTATTTCGTATAAAAATACCTACAACAGTTCCGTGTATTGCCCGTGGTACAGTTTTTTTTTTTTGAATACAATTACTCCATAGGCGTATGCCCATGCCATTATTTAGTTTAACTTTTATAAGTTTTGATATATTATACATTTGTTTGTGCACTCAGTGCGGCCTTTTATATTTAAATCATGCAAACATGCGGCATGCTCACTTATGTCTACTTAACTAATAATATTAATAATATAATTTGGACATATTGTCCATCCCCTTTTTTACTGCTATGTTTTGCTAAATACACACATCAAAAGTGTCTAGGGATCAACATATATTTTTGCAATAACTTTTCTCCTGATTGATATTAATTAAAATTTTCTTTAAGGATTCATCAAATAAAGTGTTTTTGTTTGTCACAGTAACGATAAACCAAGTCACCTTTGCATTAATAAAGAAATTTGCCATTTTCCTAATAAAGGGATTTTTGACATTTGAACCACTAACACAAAAGTTCGAAAAAAAGACTGAAATAACAGTTTTCTCTAAAATTTTATTGGGTAACTTAAACAATTAATAATCCGTATTTCTACCGCGAACACTAACAACACAAGAACATCGGTTTGGCATACTCAAAATGAGTTCATCCAAATCACGCTGTGGAATGGCCGCCCATGTTCGTTGCAACAGCAAAAAAAGGTCTTGTTGCGACTGGATACCCTCCATATTCGGCAGAGCTCTTCTCTGTAGCATATCCCATGCATGCTCAATCGGGTTCAAGTCTGGCGACTGAGCAGGCCAGGGCAGGACATTGATGTTAGCTGCGGCGAAAGTCTGTCTTACAACTCTTGCGGTGTGCGGTCGTGCATTATCATGCATTAACTGAAATAAGGGACCGATTTGCACTTGTAGAGGAACGATGACGTCTGATACAATCGTCTCAGCATAAATTTGAGCGTTGAGGTTGCCTCTGATCCAAATCAACTCAGTTCTTCCGCCGATCCAAATACCCGCCCATACCATGATGGTTCCACCACTATAAGGAAGGACTTCCTGGCAGGATTTTAATCGCTGTTGGCGTCCAGGGGTTCTCCAGTGTCGTATACGTCTTGTATCCGGTCTCATACCAAAACGAGACTCATCAGAAAAGCACACGAAACGCCATTGTTCTTCTGCCCAATTTCTGTGTTCAAGAGCCCATTGATATCGAATCCTACGATTGTGCATTGCTATAGGTGGTACCCGTAGCGGTCTTCGGGAATGAAGGTTCACTTCATGCAAGCGGTTTCTGACTGTTTGGTCGCTAATTAAGTTCCCTGAAGAGTGATGAAGCCTCACGGCTAACATCATGGCGGTTATTGTTGGAGCTCTTCGAGTTAAGATTTGAATGTATCGGTCTTGTCTCCGTGTGGTGCAGCGATACCGTCCTCCATGGCGCTCAGCCACGGTACCAGTGCTTCGGTATCGTGTCCAAAGTCGATTGATAACACTCTGACTTGTATTCAGAGCTAAAGCCACAGTACGTTGCCGGGAACCAGCTTCTATCATTCCCACGGCTCTGAGCATTTCTTCCCTGCTTAAATGACGTCGCCGCTCCATAATAACGTTGGTTTTAATCAGTAGTAGGGAAACAGTAGCACTAATAATGTCTTCAATGCGTTGTATGTTTTTATAGGGAAAATATTGACAGCTGATTTTCATCTTTTACTCGAATTTGATTCACAGTTCCTGATTCAAATTATGAAATGCACCAAAAAGGATCCATATAAATTTATAAAATCATAAATTTATTACAAAGCCACATCTCAATCTCAAGAAATCCGCATAAAAATGCTTGATCCCTAGACACTTTTGATGTGTGTAACTTAAGTCTACTTGTTTCCTTAATCTATGTTACAGTTGGGATAGTCCGGTTCACTGACCATGGTTATTTTTTTTTCACAGTACTACAACAAGTGGTACTTAGCTTAATTGTACAGTTGACCGGAGAGGTGAAAATTTTTATATAACATGGTACCGCCGATTGGACCACCGTACCACTATTAATTTATTATTTCGTTCTTACAGTTAACCGAAATAAGGTAAAAGTCGCGGCACGAAACTAGCGCTGACCGTTATTGCCCAAAAGTAAAAATTAAATTGTCTTGGGGGGAAACGAGGTGCGCGGGTGGGCGTGCGTTGCGCCGATTGGCTCTCCAGGCATACCCATGCGCAGCTATCCCCTCTGCGTTTTTTTCAACGCTAGAGTTAGGGCTAGCGCATTTATACAACTTTGAGTTGAACAACAATTTTGTTGTGTATCGTATATATATAGCAATATATTGAAGCGCATATACTGTCAACCCGATAGTTGTACAACAAAAAAGTCAAAAAGCTGTATCGATCTGCTTTTGATTAAAAAGTTGGACAACTATCGATCAAATAAATATTGATGTGCACATACCATCGACTAAACAGTCGATCCGCGACTGTCAGTCTATATATGGCGGGCTTTGCGGGAACTGTTACGGAGGATACAGATGAGTTCATTATTAGTGTAGAAAAAAGACCTGCACTTTACTTAAAGGAACACTTTACTGAAAGAGTATTCAGACATAAATCTAAAGAAAAAGCTATGGGAGAAAGTATGCATGTCAGGTTCCCGAGGAATAACCAAAAATCTAAATTAAACGCGGACGAAGTCGCGGGCGGCCACAAGCATGTTAGTAAATAAATTAATAAAAAAAATTGTATTATTTTATTTATTAAACAAAGATTTTATACAATATCAATATTTAAAATTTCTATAAAGCAAAGCACAGATTAGAACTTTCTTGTTAATTGACATTATTTGTAACACCTTGATTCGAGCGTAGCTAAATAAAGACTGGTCGAATTGAGGAGATAAAAAGAATCGACGATCGACTGCATCTATTGTATGCGTACCTCCATCAGCTAAACGGTTTAGT